AAAAAAAGAATGAACTAAAAAAAAGAATATAACTCTAAGAAGAGTTAAGAATACTTTCTAAAATGAAGCCAAGAAAATGCTGCAAAGCTTCTAGAGGAGTTCGTGGAAAGAAAGATATAAGCCGAGTTATTACCTTATTGCTAGAAGAGTTTGAGGAAGCCAATACTTTCTCTGGGCTCTTAGATTTTTCTGCTTTCCCAGGCTTCTCAGCAGGCTCTTTACTGTCATTTGAAGATTTCTGCGATTTATCAAAGATATTAATTCCCAAAATCTGAGCCACTTTGTCAAGTTCAGATTGCTTCTTTTCTGCCTCTTCTGCTTCCTGCCGTAGCTCTGCAATGTCCTTCATTATGTTATCCTGCAGCCGACTCACCTCCACCAGGAGTGGGTCTTTGTGACCATCCTTCTCCCTTCGCTTCTTGCGTAACATCTCCCCTGAATAGTCAAATGCCAACAAAAAAGTGGGGGAAATAGTGAGTCATTTTTCATTTAAAGTAATGACCTGTCAGAGCTTTATGGTTACAAAATCATTTTCCACAAGTTTCTAAGGGCAAATGAGACTCTCCTTCCATCTCATATGAAGGGGCAGGATAGGTGATTGATCACATTATCCTTTCTGTAGTCACGGTGACTGCTAAGGATGTATAAATAAGCTTCAGGGTTCTACCAACTCTCCAAATAGTACATACACATCTGTGTGCATGGTCCCCTAAAAAGAGTAATAAATACTGTAACTACGAATATAACAGCTGTCCTCTCTTCAGAGAGCCAAATAATTATTCAGAGGGTAAAAAAAATTAAAGTCACATATTTTATCTGATTTAAGGACACTACCAACTCCCACAGTGAGTTTTAGGTTTTGCCTCAGGCTCACCTATTGTTATCCCCTATTCTAAACTGCAGATCCTCATAGACTGATCTTAGCAGGATAAATGAAAGTTTCTTATCCCTAAACAATCCAAGCCCAGACAAAAGCAATTATATCTTCTACTGTTATTTCATTCTATCAATAAGCTGCAATATGCAGAGGCCTTGTGATATTCTTTTTTCACTGTGTATATCAATTCCCAAAAGCATAGATGAAGAAATAGAATAAAAAGTAAGGCATTACAAGGGCCAAGGATTTAGCTCAGTGACTCCAAGCCTACCTCACAAGCGGAAGGTCCTGAGTACAATTCCTGGTATGGGGGGTGGGGTGGGATAAGGCATTACAGAACATTGTGGAGCAAAAAGTAAGGATGTGCTCAAAAGAAGATGAGGGACTACTGTAAGGACATGGAGCCAGCTCATGGGGGTCCCACCAGTTAAATCTGAGACACTCTGATCATGAAAATAAATGATAATGAAACGTTATAACCTGCTACTATTGAGTGAAGAATCCATGAATTCACACTGATATGAATGAGCAAACACATACAGGCTGGGAAGTTCCTTCTTATGACAGAAGCCAGACAATAAAAGTA